GAGAGAAACCCATCCCAGCGTTGCCAGCAGCTTGGTGGTGAGGCTCTCACATGGGAAAACCCAGGTTCGAGGCCCTGCTGTGAATCAGGCAGAGCAGGGACTTGGTAAATGTTCACTGGGCAGAGAGAGAATCTGCCAGAGGAACTCTTGTTTTCCAGCCGACTGCACCATGACAGACGAGCTGTCAGACGGGTACTCAGCTGTCTCCCCGCTTTCCTTCCCAGGAGAACAAGCTCAAGTTCTCGGCCTACTTGGAGGAGACGTACAAGGTGAAAATCAACCCGTCCTCCATGTTCGACGTGCACGTGAAGCGGATTCACGAGTACAAGAGACAACTCCTCAACTGTCTGCACATCATCACCCTCTACAACCGTGAGCCGCGCTCTCGCTCCCACCTCGCCGCGCTCTCGCTCCCACCTCGCCGCACTCTCACTCCCACCTCGCCGCGCGGCTGCCTGGCTCACTGGGTCTCGGGGGCCCTCTGGGTGCAGGACGGAGGGCTGTGCCCCGAGGCGCCAGTCCAACGGCGAGGGGGGGAGACTGGGTTTGTCTCGCAAAGTTCTGCCCCTCTGGCCTTGTTGGTCTTTTCCCAAGCAACATTTGGTTCCTAAATATGTATTTTCAGTGCAAATGGTTTTCCTAACTTCCAAAGACACACATTACTGTTGGTTAACGTGGGCTGTATAACCCCATGGTCATGTTGTGCCCCAGAAATACCAGAGCCCAATTTCTGCTCTGGGAGCAGATGGTCAATGTCAATTCTTGTGTCTTCCTGGAAATGCTGATGGTGCTCTGAGGTGGTCACGACCGGAAGGTTTAGCACAGAAGCAGATGCAGATCTGGTGTCTATAGTTTTGTTTACTTAGAGTATAAACTCCTTAAGGCAGTGACCACATGTTACGTATTTGTACAGCACCTGGCACAACAGGATCCTGTTCATGACTGGTGCCTCCAGCCGCTACTGCAGCCAAAGAACATCTTTGTTACTCTGCACCGTCACCCCTGAATGACTCTAATTTTATCCTCTTCATCTTTCAGGCATGAGAAAAGACCCATCCAAGTCCTTTGTGCCAAGGACGGTGATGATTGGAGGAAAGGTGAGACGTTTCATTAACTCTTCCTTTGGAGCAGTTTAATAAGCTGAATTGGGTGCATGTCTCTGCCTTCTGCTGGAGGGAGACATATATTGCTGGCCGTCTGGCTTCCGGTCTGTAAAGACAGGCTCCGCCCCCCGTTCTTAGCGCTGTACAGACGCCGAGGGAGAGCATGGAGGGGAAGGCAGAGGCCTGGCAGAGGGAGCCAGTGGGGAAGGGATTGGCCTGGGGACGAAGAATCACAACCTGTGGCTGCCGTTGGGGATCTTTGCAGGACTCCAGTGGGCTTTGGAGGTTCACTCCACCGTGGCCGTGGCTGTGGCCGTGGCCGTATCCTCTTGCTGCCGTCCAGTGCTCTCCGTGTCCCAGCACTGGCGCCAGAGCAGCTGCTTGGTTTGAAAGAGTCTTTCTGCTGTCTCTGCTCAGCCCTGCTCCTGGAGACTGCTGCTGGTCAGTAGTTGTCTTCTCTCCGGGAGCGATCACAGCTCGTCTGCAGCGGCCGCTCGTGGGGCCTGCTGCTCTCAGAATACACAGCCCTTGGCATATCGTTTTTAAACCCACATGCAAGCGTTGAGCCCCGTGTAAGCCTGCAGGCTTGAATGAATCTTGAATGAAAGTGAGAATTTTCACTGCCCTGCCCCTATGAACAGCGTAAGACTTGGGCTCCCAAACTCTATTGGTCTTGCACCACCTTGTCGAAAAACTGTTTGAAGAGAACGGATCAAGCTCACGTCTCATGTGCACCGGCCATTCCAGGAACCCCGGCCTAGGCTACTCCCCTTGATAACATCCGTTTTGATTGGAATCACCAGAGGTGCTGGAACGAGGGGGCTGGGGGCGGCCGCATTCCCTGGCTTGAAGCGGTGTCCATCATATCCAGGGTTTGGTTCAATGGCTCTCAGCCCCCCCACTACACACATTGTTCCAGCACTCCGGGAGTTTCTCCTTTTCGCCTTACCGTGCATTTCTTTCTTTAACTTTTTCTGTGTCTCCACCCCCCTCTGCAGGCAGCTCCCGGCTACTACATGGCCAAAATGATTATCAAACTGATCACGTCCATCGGGGACGTCATCAATAACGATCCCTATATAGGAGATCGACTCAAAGTCATCTTCTTGGAGAACTACAGGGTGTCCTTTGCTGAGAAAGGTAAGACAGCAAAGGGGGTGGACTGCGTGGATGCTGTGAGTTGGCAGTGATTGTGCAGTTGGTGAGGAAACCATGAGCCGCTTTCCCTATGGGCAGTGCTGGGATTCAGGGGCAGGCTGAGAAATATGGGTAAGGGAACAAGCACAAGCAAGGGGAATGCGGGAGCAGACGGGGGGGTGGGGAGGATCTGGCCAGAGCAGGGCACAGGGTTGTGGGGCTCCATTTAAACCTCCCCTTGGCGCTTTTCCCAGCATTCCCTGCGCCGGGATTTCAAAGCGTGGGGGCTCCAGCCGTAAGTACCAGAGAAGCTGTACCGGCAGAACAGACCTCGCCATGAGAGTGCAGCCCGTGTAGCCCTTTGCTGGGTCTGTTCGTGTTATCACGAGGTGGGAGGCGTGAGATCCAGCTGAGAGCAGCCCCGAGGGCGATATTTGTGTGCGCCCCATCCTGGCCGAACCGGAGACATGTCCCCGAGACCTTGTGCGTTCAAACGGGCATGGAGCTCTGGATGTGCGTTGTCATGGAAAGTCACCCAGCGGTCCAGGCAGGCTGACCTGGAAGGTGTTTGAATGTCGGGTCGGGCAGCCCTGAACCAGGAGCGTGTGCCCATGTGTAGCGCTGCTCTGGCATCTCCTGTTCTGACGCAGTCCTCGGGTGCCCAGCCCTGGATTCACCAGCCACCACCAGCCGCGTCACTTTCCAGCTGCACTTTTCCCCAGGCTCCTGTGGGAAGGACCAGGCTGGGTCCTGGTTTCCTGCTTGTCAGAGCTGCTTGCTCCTGGGAGGGGTTGTCAGTGGCGCTCTGGCCGGGGGCAGACGCGTCCCTGTGGGGCAGCGCTCCTGGCTGGTGATAGCAGCTCCTGGGAGCGGGGTGAGGATGGGGGCGTGTGTGCTGAGTGACTGGGAGAGCTTGGCTGCGCCTGGGTAGCTCTGGGTCTGGGCGGCAGAGGCGACTTTGTGGCCCCCTCCCTCAAGTCCTGGCCGGCTCTGCGCCTAGCTGGTGCCCTGCGTTCTGTCTGCCCCTGGGGCCAGGGGAGCCGCTGGGGCCTGAGCAGGCCCCAGGAGCTGCCGTGCCAGCAGA